TGATAGAAACCAGGATCAAATAATGACATATTTATGATTCCATCTATATGAAATATCCAGAAAAGGGGTATGTATAGAGTTAGAAAGATGTTCAATAGTTGTCTAAGGCTGGAGCTAAGCTGGCACTAACTGTAAGTAGGTACAGGGGAACATTGGAGGTAAAAAGTCTAAAACTGGAATGTAGTGATGGTTTAAAAATTAACTAAAAATCTTTAAATTGTATACTTAAAGTGGGTGAATTTTATGTTATAGATTTAAAACTTCAATAAATTCTTTTCAGTTTGCACTCTTCAATTTTTTGAATAACTTGTAAATTACTATCATTCAATATGCTTTCCTCTTTATAAAGTTCAGAAAAATGGACTTTGAAGCCACTCAATCTAGGGTATTTGGGGAAGGGAATATCTCCGATCACTATATCACTTTGATTCGTGTTTATTAGTATGTTCAACTTTTTCTCTTGCATTTTGAATCTATGTAGGTATTTAATACATTTTCACGTATTTGAAATCAAACAATGTGCCATGAAATAACACTCCATTTTGTCTTTCAATTTGTATTAGTGTAAGGATACTCATGCTCTCATTTTTTATTTCTCAATGTTTATATAGTTATTTCCAATTATTGCAGGTATTTTTAATTTTCATCTTCTCTTTGCTTTCTTTTATCAGTCATTTAGAGATCTGTCATATAGATTTTTTTTTGGTGATTTTTTTCTGTTGTTATTTTTGTGTCACTCATAACTTTGTTATCTCTGTTGCTTATTTTACAATGGATTGAGCAATATTCTTCAAATTTTAACTTATTAAATTTCATGACAAGTATATTTGAAGATACTAATCACATCTATTTCCAGATTTGTACATGACCTGAGTGCCCAAATACAAATGAATGGATCAGGAGGCTGTGATATATGTAAAGTGTACACACACACATATACATGCATGTATATGTGTGTGTGTATATATATATGTATATATATAATGGAATACTACTCAGCTATCAAAAAGATAAACTTTTGCTATTTGTGGATGGAGATGGAATGGATTATGCTAAATGAAAGTAGGAGAAAGGAAAATACCAGATGGTGCTAGCATGTGAAATACGGAAAAACTAAAGAAAAGATCAGGAAAAAAACAACCTAAGAGCTAACCTAAAAAAGCTAACTAAAAAACTGAGGTTACTAGAGGAAGTGGGATAAGGAAGATGCACAATGGACTGTGATGGTGGGCTGTGGGTGCCTCAGTAGTGAGTATGATGTGGTAACAATGCTTGATGGGGGGAAATCCTATACTTTTAATAGACAAACCGTGATGTAAGCTGCTATCACTTCAAAAAATAATAAGATTTATATGAGAGGGCCTCCCCGGGGGCGCAGTGGTTGAGCGCTGGGTTGCGAAGCTGCCCGCGGCCTCTGCGGCGCTGGTTCGATCTCCGGCTGCTCCCCGGCCACTGGAGAAGGGTCCCACATGGCGTGCAGACCTCTCCTGCCGCCCGCTGCTCCCCTCAGCAGTGTACTTCGGTCCTTCTGCCTGCTCTGCTCCCCGCTCTGGCTCTGGTGAATTCTCTCACCCTCCCACGCTTCTGACTGTTCCCTGTGCTTGTATAAACAAAAAACAAAACAAACAAACAAACAAATAAATAAATAAATAAAACATGCCTCTAAAAAAAAACACATTTATATGAGAGGCGTTCCCCATTCATCAACCTTTGTCAAACATTACTTCATTTCCTCCCCCCAAAGTTATTTCATGACACCTTGTTTGATTTCAAATATGTGGCACTTTTTCTATTTTAAATTTTCATTGATTTTTGGTCTGTGATAACACTGACCCTATGTGGTCTACTTTTATAAATATGTCATAGTTTCTATTAAAAAATGTTGATTTTCTGTTACTTGGATGTAGTGTTCTACAAAAATCTAATGGTTTTAGCATTTTTTTTTTTTTTGGTTTTAGCATCTTAATGTTTTTTAAGTCCCCATGCCCTCGTTAGAACCCCCACCAACCTGAAGCCCTGTTTTTTCCCCCCATAGGGACAAGATCTTAGTCTATGTGTCCTCCTTTTAAATTTTTCCTACTCTACAGCCATCTAGCACTCTTGCTTTTTGTTCCCCTTCCTATCAACCTCCCTTACACCTCTCTTTCTTCCTTCCCCATCCCTCTCAATCTCACTTTGTTTATTAGTTTTCCTAAGTAAATTTTGCTTTGTCTTATTATTCACTGTGTAAATATTCAGTGTTTGTCTCTGGCATTCTGACTTACTTTTTTCCACACAATTCCCTCAAACTCCTCCATTTTGTTGTAAATGGGAATATTTTTGTCTTTCCTTATGTTGGGATAATACTTCATTGTGTGGCTAATACCACATCTTCTTGACCCATTTCTCTCTCAGCTATTTTCTGGATATTACATAATGCTGTAGTGAACACTACAGAGTACCCATTTTTTTTTTTAAGTTAATGGTTTCATGTTCTTTGGATAAATGCCCAAAAGTGGAATTGCACAGTATTTACAATTTTAGTTTTTTAACGATAAATCCAGATTGCTTTCCAACATGGCTGCACCAGTTTACATTCCCACCAACAATGTAGTGTTTTTCTTTCTTTATATTCTCTCTAGCACGTGTTATTGGGGATCTTTTTAATATGTGCCATTCTCATAGATGTGCAGTGATATGTTATTTTGGTTTTAACTTTTCTCTCCCTTACTAAAAGTGATGATGAACATTTTCCCATGTTGGATATCCATATTGGATATCCTCTTGAATTGTCTGTTCAGATCTGCTGCCTATTTACTAATTGAATTTGTTAGTTTAATTTTTCACATTAGGTCAGTTTCAGAGAAACTGAATCTCTACAATTTCTTTTTTCCAGTTTTATTGAAATATAATTGACAGACATCATTATTTATGTAAGTTAAAGGTGTACTACATGGTTTGATTTACATATAGTGCGAGATGATTACCCCAGTAAATTTAGCTGCCATCCATCTTCTCATATAAATGAGAGAAAACTGAAGAGAAAAATGGAAAATTCTCATCCTTGTGATGAGAATTCTTAGGACTATAGATTGTACAGCAATGTATGAGAGTTTCTTGATCTGATTTTCTGATTCACAAATATATTTGCATCTCTCCCACTTTATTATTTTTATTTTATTTATTACCGTTTCAATATTTTCCATATCTAAAAGTCCCTCTTATAACTTCTATTTCCTTGCTTTCTACTACAGGTATCTTATATCTAAAGCATTTTGTGCTCTTAATAAATTGTTTTTCTGTGCATCCCAACAGTTCTGCTTCAGTTGCTACTTACTGTTTATTTTACCATCTTTATTTTCTGTTGTTTTATTCCTGAGATTTACATTCCTGAGTTAGATCATGTTCAAGGCCAAGCTTCAGTCTGCCTCCCCTAGTGAGTGTGAGTATAGGAAAAGGGAGAACACCCAGAGTCAAAGCTTCTGGAATTATTATAGCCCACTCCAGTTTGCTGCCACACTACTAAGTCAGGAGTCTACCTGTCAGTTCTCAGAAAGTGTCGGCATTGGGAGGAGATCTACTCTGTAGGATGTGATCCCCAGCCCTTGGAGTGGGAGGGAGAGAAGGCGGAGTGCTCATGGCTGCACCTGTTCTCACCTCCTCTCAGCAAGGCTGTCCATCTGCCTTGTCATCACCGCCAACATCTTTGACCTGGTATGCTGCTGTTGACTTTGCTTGCAGAGGGGCATAGTAGTGGTTGTCCCAAGTTAATTTGATCCATATCTCCTTGCTTCTACCATTTCTCCAGAAATGATGTTTTAGAGAAAATCAGCAGCTCTCCTGCTTTTTTTCATAAGTTCCAGTCACACTTCCTTTCTTTTGGTTCCTTAACTGCGGCAGTCTGTTTCCTATCACACAGCCTTTGCAATGGCAGTTCTCTATGCCTCGAATGTTCTTCTCTCTCATCTCTAATGGCTGTCTCCTCATTAATCTCAGCTCATGTCCCATGTTATTTTGCAGAGGAATCTTTTTTGACACCAAACTGAAAATAGCCTGTACCATTCTAGTCTTCTCATGTTGCCCCATTTACTGTAATTTAAGCTTATCATATCGTGTACTTCTTCCCATTAGAATTAGAATGTCTCTTCTTTAGAGCTTGTATTCTGTTTCTCTTTTTCTCAGTAGTGTCACTTGCTACCAAGAGGCCTTGGGAAAATTGCTTAACCTCATGGTACCAGCGTTTGATAGCTAAAAATGAGATTTGAATTAAATTGTTCCTTTCTACAATAAAATCCTGTCACCTGTGATGGTCGGGGAAGGAAGTGTCTCATACATGCTGCACTTGACTTTTTCTAGTTAAATCACTTTCCCAAGTCAAGGTTTGAGGCCTTTAGCTATGCTTGTACAGCACTGGAGGTGACAGCCACTGAGATATTCAGCACAGTATATTTTATTATCTTATTTTTAATTAAATTATTTTGATGGAGGTAACATTGGTTTCCAATGATGTAAATGTTTTAGATTTCTAAAGGTTCCCAGCTCTTCAAATGTGTGCATCACACCACAGCCACCAACAGAACACAGCAATCCTTCAACACAGCCCAGGGGCCCCACTGCACCCTTGGCTCCCTACCGCCCATGCTTCTGGTGGCATCTATTCTACAGCCAGATTTAAAGGATTTGTTTTGGCCTGGCTTCATCTGTTACTTTAACACAACTTATTTTAAATATCTCATTTTCTGTATCACCCAATAGAGCTTGAGCTAGTTGAAGGCAGAGACTGTGTTCTGCCCAGGTTCTAAGACATAGTAGGATATCTATGTTTGTTGAATACATGAGTAAGTAGGTAAATGAGCTCCATATTTAACAATATGAATCATACAAATCTTACCCAGAAACTTCTGGCTGGCTGGCACTGCCCTAGGCAGCATGGGACTGAGAGGTCCTGAGTTCTGTACAATTTCTGATATCAGCCTTACTATCAGGAGGGTGAGTGCCAAAACTCTTCTTCTGTCCTTCAGGATGTATGTAGTGATTTTCGACCCTATGTGAAGGATGGAAAACTTGGATGCACAAGGGAAAATGACCCAGTTGTTGGTCCTGATGGGAAGACCCACGGCAATAAGTGTGCAATGTGTGCTGAGCTGTTGTAAGTATCATCCTCCTCAGCAGACCAAGCAGGTGGGCTGATGAGGACACACTCAGTTGCTGTCCTGAGAACCAGTCTACAGAGTGGTGAAGTCCTTTTCCTGAAGCCTGCAGGCCTTTGTCTTTATCTGGTGACATAGTCCCTGCTCCCAGAGTTGGCTTCCTTTCTTTTTAGTTCATAGGCTCTATTAAAGTTTTTTGAGAGGAGTGGGTAAAGTGGTAATGTTAGTAATTAAACTCTAGACTTTTCGTTTAGAATTATAATGAAAAGACTTTTCATCTAGAGTCATAATTAGACTTGAAATGTGCAGTGCCTTATAAGGCACAATATCTTTAAATGGGGCATACATAGAGACACTCTTCCTGAAAATGAAAGTCTAGCTTAAAATAATTATTATGTGACATGACTGAATTCGTTAGTAGTCTAAAAGGTAGAACGTTAAGAATGGGAAGAACTGTTGGGATTTTCTTGATCTGAGGCCTTGAGCACTGAGACCCAGACGTGGCTGAGATCCAGTGAGTCTTTAACATTCTGTTAAACAAGTTATAGACTCTCTAATCCAGGTGCCAGCAAGCCTTAATGCCCTCTATTTACTTCATTGGATCTTTTAAGTTCACACAGACAAAGATTTAACCAATTCATAAACTTCACACCTGCCTTTGAAAATTGCAGTGCACTGTTAGAAAATTCCAGGGCATGTCCTATCAGGTTTACAAAATTTAACTGACTTCCAGGCTGGAAAAGAGCCTAAATTCCACTTTCTTATTTAGGAGGTGAGTGTTTTTAGTGTTCAAACCTGTCCTAATTCTGTGGCTTTCTGTTTTTTGTTTTTGTTTTTGTTTTTGTTTTTGTTTTTCACGCACTAGCTGAAAAGTGAATTTGACCTTCCTAAATCCTGGTTTCTTCCTCAGTAGAGCTAAGGTAGTAATGCCTCTTTCCAGGGTGAGACTACAGCTAGGTAATAACTAGAAAAGGATTTAGAAGCACAATTCAGTGTAGTTTTTATTAACAGCGATGCTTTCACATGAAGGCGCAAATACATTACAAAATATAAAAAAGTCACCCATAACATGGGGGTGGGTGACAGTACTTCGAAGACTATTGATTTCACCCTGGTCCAAGTACTGTTTTAAAGCTCTTAGTTCTGCCTGTTAAAGGGAATTTTCCTGACAGTCTTCTGTTTGCCAATCAAGGAGTCACACCCTTCCGGTTTTGTAGAACAAAGCTTCTAATTGACTATCAGTGAGTCAGTTTCATGCCCTTCCTTATCTTTGGCAATTTTCTGGCTCAAGACCTTCAAGGCAGGGAAGTGTTTGTCTCTTGTAAGTGGATTGGTTTAACATAGCACAGGAGATGAAAGTGCTTAGTACAGAAATGGACCCTGGAAATATGATGGAGCTATAAGCTGACCAAATATTTCCTTTCTTAACAGCTTAAAAGAAGCTGAAGAAAATGCCAAGCAAGAGAGTGAAAACAGAATTCAACGAAGTGCTGCAAAGGTAAATTACTCACCGACACAACTTGGTCCTTGTGGCAATAACTATTAACACAGTTATGCTTGAAATTTTGAGGTAGCTCAATAATGTTATTGTCCTTCATTAATATATTGGATTTTTCCCCTTAATTTCAAAATTCCTGAAGTTGAATATTTTAGTTGGTTATTAGATGCAAATTTAAATGGTGTCTCTGAACTAAAGCTCAAAATTGCATGTTCCCTTCTTTTTTTTTTTTTTTGCTGATACTTTTGTTTCTTTGCTGATTCTTAAATTTAGTTATTTTTTTACATCATTTTTCATCTTTGTACCGTAATTGGTTTCTCCCCTCAGGTGCAGTCTCCATGTTCCTCCTTGCTTTGAAAGAGAGAGAAAGAAATATAAGACAAAGTTTATGTAAATTAAATTCTACTTAGTTTCCATCAGACTTATCTCTCTCTGGCTTGGTAAAATTCATTTTGCTATGAGTAAATTATTTTAAAAATGCAACATAATATAAATTAGACAGGAGTGACTTTAAATTAATTCCATAGTCTTTTAAATAGGAAATCCACTGCACATGTTATGCTTAATCCCATTAATACAGTTTGGAGTTACTCACTGTTGCAGTGTGGTTATTGCATTTAGTGAGACCTGCATTCCAGGAAAGCCTTCCTTTCCAAATATCAAATATCCAAATATCAGAGATTGTTGTTTTTCGAATGCTCTTAAAATTTTTCAAATACATGATTTTGCTTTTTAATATGCTTAAAAAATATTCCTTTGTTAATTGACTAGATATTGCAGCCTGAATTAAATCACCAAGGATATTAAACTCTGCTTTCAATGAAAGTGATAACAGTTATTTTGCTAAATGACTAGCCTTTTGTTGAGAAATAAGGACACCTGAGTTTTAGCTTTAGTTCTGTCATGCTCTGGGTGTGGGAAACCAAGCAAATCATCTCTTCTCTGGGCCTCAATTTTTTTGTCAGCAAGTTAAAGGGGTTGAGTAACTATTCTCAATTTCACCTTCCTGTTGGGTTGTGATTCTATATCCTGCAACTTTTACTTGCTAATATGAGTATGCTATTTCTATGAATTGTAGCGTCTGCTGCGTGAGAGAAACAAGCTCAGTTTTCAGTAGTCAAGAGCTGAACTTCCACTTCATGTTATTCAATGAGGCGAACTTCTCATCCTAAATAGGATGTTCTGAGTTTAAATTAAGAAACATGAAGCAGTTAGAATAGTCAATTTGTTGAACACTCACTAAGGATTTGAAAAGGAAGCTTTTGTGGTGGTGGTTGAACTTCAGACTAAAATTTGGAGTTGTCAAGTGGTGGTCTGCGTTTCCAGAACACCAATGTTCTTTTCCCTTGTCTTCAATACGTTGTGCGTATTTCCCCTCTTCCTCTCTGTAGCTGCTGGGGGTTATTGAACACTATGTTTTGAAAAGGAGGACTGCCTTCCAGTGGTGGCTCAGTGTCAGCCCCGTCATTATCCTGTCAGTGGGTTTCCTTCAGCTGTATTTCTTCAGAATTTCCTTGGATGATCACAACTTATAAACTGAAATTATCATTGTTTCTTTTAAGGGATTCATCGCACATTCATTTTATCATCATGCTATGATTATCAGATGACTGACTTCTGTATTCCTAGATTGTCACAGACAGGAAATTTGGAACACAACCATCGCTCTTCCAAGGACAATATCATCTTGTTAGGTCAATTAGGCTTCTCTTTTAAAGTTTCCTAATGAGGGCCTCCCCTGGTGGTGCAGCGGTTGAGCGCTGGGCTGTGAAGCTGCCCTCAGCCTCTGCAGCGCCAGTTCGATCCCCAGCCACCGGGCGAGGGTCCCACATGGCGCGCAGACCTCTCCTGCCACACCTGCTGCTCCCCTCAGCAGTGTACTTCGTCAGTCTGCCTGTTCTGTTCCCCGCTCTGGCTCTGGTGAATTCTCTCATCCTTCCACGCTTCTGACTGTACCCAGTGCTTGTATAAATTAAAAAAATTAAAAAATAAAAATAAAGTTTCCTAATGAAATGAGTCATTTTAAAAAGCAGAGAATGCTAGATCCAGAAAAGGTCCTATAGAGCACCTAGTCCAAAAACTTTATTTTGTAAATGGTGAGGTTGAGGTCTCAGCGCTTAAAGGGCTGTCCTGGGGTCTCCAGTGGGTCAAAGGAACAGACCAGCTGCCCAGGTCTTCAGATTCCAAACCTCATGCTCTTTGCTCATGTTTCTTGCTTCTGCATATTTAATTTAACCTGCATCAAATGGTAGTGTTTTCAAAACACAGAGAGAGATCTGAAAGTTTTGGGTTTTTTTTTTTAATTTATTTATACAAGAACCAGGGTACAGTCCAGATGTGTGGGAGGGTGAGAGGATCCACCAGAGACAGAGTGGGGAGCAGAACAGGCAGACTGACTGAAATACACTGCTGAGGGGAGCAGCGGGCGAGGCAGGAGAGGTCTGCTGCGCCATGTGGGTTGCTCACTGGACAGCCGGGGATCGAGAGCTCGTGCTGCAGAGGCTTCAGATTGCTTCATAATGCAGTGTTAACCCTTAGCGCCACCACGAAGGCCCGAGATCTGAAAGTTTTGAACCAAAGCCTCAGTTAGGAAATCTGAGTACAAACTTCTCGTGAATATTTTGGGGAAGTCACAACCTTTTAGGTTTTCTAATTAAATATTAGTCTTGATCTACTTTTGTAAGGCAGGCAATGAAGAACAATTAGATTCATTCTCTCTAAGGTTTCCGCCTACAGTATAAGAAATTAACATCAATAAAAGGGGGAGAGTACATAAAAACGACATATAGAAAACAAACTAAAGTAAGCATAATGCGGTTGGATACCGTCTCGTTCCTGTTCGCTTGCACACCTGGTTGGAGTGTTTTGCCTTTGATCCACACTAAGTACATTTTAACATCTCATCTCCCAAATTCTGTGCTCTGCTCTTTGGCAACAGTGGAGGGCAGGGGGGCTTGGCCTACTGCATGTTGTTGTGTCTTTCTTGGAACCCCATTATCAGATGTTTAATTTTTTATTATTCTTAAAACAAACTATCAGCTTTTTGAAAATATTTCCTCTGCTTTATTCTTTTCTAGGCTCTTTTACATTATATTTTTATTTTATTTTATTTTTTAAGGATTTATTTATTAATACAAGTACTGGGTACAGTCAGAAGCGCGGGAGGGTGAGAGAATTCACCAGAGCCAGAGTGGGGAGCAGAACAGGCAAAGGACCGAAGTACACTGCTGAGGGGAGCAGCGGGCGGCAGGAGAGGTCTGCCCGCCATGTGGGACCCTCCTCTGGTGGCCGGGGAGCAGCTGGGGATCGAACCAGTGCTGCAGAGGCTGTGGGCAACTTCGCAACCCAGCGCTCAACCGCTGCACCACCGGGGAGGCCCTCTTTTACATTTTAATAAAGACTATCCAGCCAGTACAAGTACTGTGTCATTTGATAGTTAACTCTCATTAACGTATGAGTTTTCCAACACCATCTACACCAGGCTGTGCGATGCATATTAAAGAATGGCAATGTGCTCATTGTAATTACTTGTCTTTTCCCAGGATCTTTGCAAGGAATATGAAAACCAAGTGAAGGATGGAAAACTTTATTGTACACGGGAAAGCCAACCAGTTCGGGGCCCTGATGGCAGGCTGCATGGCAACAAGTGTGCCATGTGTGCTGAAATTTTGTGAGTATAGATGTGGTTTCCTCAGTGACTCAGTGAAGTGGAGATGGGTAGGGTGAAGATATTAGAGGAAATGTTTACAAGCTACTATTAAGAGGAAAAATTGTTGAAAATACGTAAGCAGTTGTATTCCCCTGGCAAGTCATAATACACCTAATAAGTGGACCCTAATAATGTTCTGAGTACAAGCGGATTCCATTTTGCGGTTGGAAAATGGATTACAAAATACTTCTTAACATCTCCTCCCATGACCTTTGTAAACCTTTTTATGAACTAGTCATAGGGTAGATGAGGGTAAAAGCAGGTACCATGACTGGTATTGTTTTCCTTCAGTAATTATCCCATTGTGACAGACTAGGTGGGACACCCACAGAAAAATTCATGGTGAGATATGAACTGGACTAGCTTTATCTTTTCATCATGGAATTTGACCTTAGGGAAGAGAAATCCCACAACATAAAATTGGGGCATTTATGAAGCTGTCTCATTAAGGGCTTATCACACTCCTTTCAGACCCTTGAGCTCCTATATACTGTCCTGCCGGAGAGTCTCAGTCCTGGCAACGAATGGCTCCTCTTCTGTGGATTGTGTTTCAAGATTAACCTCCAAGACCTTCTAAAATCCCTCCCTGAGAGTCAATCTTTATAACTCTTAATAATTCTGTTTCATAACTGTCATCACAGTTGGTAACAGTACAATTATTTCTTTGATTATTGGTTGACTGTCAGTCTTTCTGCAGAGCTGTAAGTTCCAGCAAGACAGAGTATGTGCCTATCTTGTATGCTGCTATATGATAAGCCCAGAGCCAGGCCAGTGCTTCCAAACGATATTAAGTCATTGTTGAATGAATGAGTGAATGAACAAATGTGTGAATGAAGCTCCTCACTCTCAAGAAACTTAAGGCTAATAGCAGAAATAAGCCATGAATGTGGACGTGTGTCCACGCGCATGCGCATGTACACGGGCACACGCGCGCGCACACACACACACTGCAAAACCAAATGAAAAGCATTCCATTTAGGGGGAACCTTCTGCAAGAGACATAGAACTCATTTTCTTTGGGATCTGGGATGTCTTCTTGAAGAAGGCAGAATTTAAAATGGAAAGATTTTAAAAAAGAGACGATGACAAAATAGATCATTATAGTGAAGTAAAATGGCATATCTGAGGGTAAATTGAAAGGGGTTCTTTGGAGAAATAGTGATGATTTTCACTTAAATGAAGTCGTAAAGTGATTTGTACAGTTTGTACCAGAACACAGGAATACTTCGCTGTTCCTCCTAAGTTGGTTCCACCTAAATTATTATTTTGTAACATGAGGATTTGAAGCATCTGTATTAATTTATTTCTTTTTTCTTTCTCCAGCAAACAGCGTGTTACAAGAGAGAAAAATAACGAGGAAGGAAATATGCGAAATATTGACCAAAAAGATAAAGCTAAAAGAGAAATTGAGGTGAGGATGAGTTTGAGCAATATAATTATGACTTGTGGGATGTGTCTGTGTGTGTGTCTGTGTGTGCACATTTTACTCTAGGATGCATTTTCAGTATTGGCTTACCCACCTCCCAATTACACCACTGAAATTAGTCTATGGTTATTATTTTATAAGACTGACAAGAAGATTATTTATAAGACTGCATTATAATATTTAGCTGTATTTGGAGTAAATTAATGAAGCCATATTAGTAAAATAGTTCCACACTCCTAAATCAAGATGATACATTGAAAATATTATCTGGGGCCTCCCTGGTGGCGCAGGCATTTGAGCGCCTCACTGTGAAGCTGTCTGCAGCCTCTGCAGCGTGGGTTGGATCCCGGCAGGCAGGCAAGAATCCCGCATGGTGCGGCAAACTTTCCTCTCACCCACTGCTCTCCTCAGCAGTGTATTTCATCAGTCTGCATGTTCTGTTCCCTGCTCTGTCTCTGGTGAATGCTCTCACCCTCCCGCTCATTTGGTGTGTACCCTGGTTCTTGTATAAATACATAAATCTTAAAAAAAAAAAAAGAAAATATTATCTGAATTCAAGTTTGAAATGCATTCTTTTCCAAATGTATGGTAGCTGTTTTAGAGATTTTAATTTTTAAACCAATATAAAAGTAAAATTTCAATATAACTCTTTAAAAACACACTGCATTTCTTTCTAAGCACCTTTGTTAGTCATCTGCCTTATTTTCTTCTACTGCTGCCAGCTGAGTTGGGACATGTAATACTTTTCCTTTTATTGATGTGTTTACCACCCTTCTTGGTTTCTGTATTCTAGACATCTAGACTTCCAATATCTTCCTCAATCCCCAAGATTCAATTCATCTTCTGTATTGCTTTCATAGTGTAGGAGATATTTTTATCAACTAACAGCATTATGAAATCCAGTGTTTGTAGGTGTCCTTGAGTATATTTGAACTGTTTCAATTCATGAAGAAACCCTGTTTGACTTATTTCTTACAGAAACTTCCACCTTCTATAATGTGTGATTCATAGTTTCATAAATTAGCTCACTGCATGAAGCCACTTTTGCTTCCATCTTATTCGCAAGGCCTCATTTTCAAGTGTATTACTCCTTTCATCTTAGCTTATAAAGTCCTTTGAATTTTAGGTCTCTGAGGTCCTTCAACTATACTTTTTACCTTTCATTTACAATTTCTTCATCTCCTCCTTCCATAGCTTCTTTTCTTTCTTTGTCCTTCCCTCTTTTTCTCCTCTCTCTGATACACACACACACACACACACACACACACACACGCAGACACACACCCCCCCTCTATCTCTGCCACTATCTCTAGCTTTCTCCTCTCTCCTCTATAGTATACCTAATTTCAAATTTTCATTCACGCAAATCCTCCACCCATTTGGCAGAGCAGTCTTTCAAAAACAAAATAATTTGATTATGTCGTTTCTGCTATAACTCATTATCATTTTTTCATTTCCTGAGAATACAGCCCAAATTCTTAAAAATGTAGTGGTCTGGTTTTCACTAATATTCAAAATCCCCTTTTTGATCACTTCCCAAACCTTCCTCACTTTGGCCAGATAATTCTGTAGCTATTATACTCATGGCTATAATAGATTATATAAATAATGCATTCTTTCAAGCTGTGTCTTTGCATATCATAATTATTTTCAGAGGATCTTTTTTACACTTTGTTTTTCTGGACACATTCAAAGATGCAACTCAGACATAAGCTCTTCTCCAAATTTCCATGAATCATTCTTCCCTTTGTGCTTGTCCACACTTACTCCAGACCTGTGTCACATCCCTTGGCTTTTTCACATTGCAGAGACTTATCCTATCCACGTGACGGCAAAACAGCTAAATCATATTCACATCTGTAATCTCTTAATACATTTGTTGACTACACAAGTGATTAACAAAAGGGGAGAAATATTGCAAATTTTTTGCATGCTCCTAAATTCTAGAGTTGTATTTTTTCATCCTTATGATCTCTTTTCCAATGTCCTTGATAAAGCATATCCAGAAATGGCCCTGAAACTATATGAAACATTTGTTTGTGGTCGTATGTATGTGCATCTACATGAGTCCTGTGTGACCAATTCTAGATTGAGGATCCATAAATTTTACTGCTTAAAAGTATTCATGTCTTTAAAGTTAAGAATTTTAAAATAAGCCATGCCATTGAAAATTTCAAGTACAGCTATTTTTTTTTTTAAAGATTTGCTTTTGTTTATTTATGCACACAAGGACAAGGGCGTAGGCCAGAGATTCAGGAGGTGAGAGGATTCACCAAAGACAGAATGGGGAGCAGAACAGGCAGATCTACCAAGATACACTGCTGAGGGGAGCATTAAGCGAGTCAGGAGAGGTCAGCTCCGCCATGTGGGTCAGCTTCCTGGCCGGGGATCGAACTCATGTCACAGTGGCTGCCGATAGCTGGACAGTGCTGTGACAACCCGTCATCCCACTAGAGGAGGCCCCTCAATTTAAGCAGTGTGTGCATTCTGATCCAAACCTGTGTGTAGCACCTCACCTCCTCTCCTTGGCTTCACAGGCAGTGTGCAGCAAATACCGCAATTTGAGGATGAACGGGCAGCTTCCGTGCACCAGAGAAAAAGACCCCGTCAAAGGCCCTGACGGGAAGATGTACGGCAATGAGTGCTCCATGTGTGACGCCTTCTTGTGAGTAGCACCCGGCTTCTGAGTGGGGAGAGCAACTGCTAAGGGCATTTTTCCTGTAACCCTGAATAGTGCTCTTCCCTCTTCACTATAGCTCTTCGTTTACAGCACCACATTCAAGTGAACTTAAAAAAGAAATCAAAAAACCAAAAATCATGTGGAGAGCTGATTATCATGTTGATAATGATTGTGATAGTGAGAGATGCAGAATCATTTCTTTTAGGACCTTCCAAAAGAAACTCAGAATATTCTATTCAGACAAGAGGAGATGACAACGCTGCTAATGACTTTTAGTTTTCTGAAGGAATATCAGAAATAGGACATGGATGAGAGTACATGCAATAAATCAGTAAGATGCACGGCAAGTTTTATAAACGATTTTAGTTTACTATCCTTATTCCTACTCATTGTGTGTGACCTCAAGGAATAGAATTAAAATGGGCAAGAGCTAGGGAAGACAGCTTTGGACCCCATGTGAACTTTGCAATCATAGTAGTTCAAGTGGGTTACGCCTGCTTCAGAAATGGTGGCTCTGCTGTGGAGGAATTGGCCACCCACTCATAAGGACTGAAGTATAACTTTAGGTGACTTGAGCTCTCCCCTCAAATAATCGTCTATGATGTCCCTTAAGTCTTTGGATCTTTATCCCAAGCATGGGATACCCCTATTTATTTAATATATGCCTGGAATCTCTGAAAGGATTCAACTATTGAGTCTTCCTTGGTAGAGAGCAACATAACCCAGCAAATTCGTTCCAGTGTTTGCACCAAAGAAGCAGTAAAGTTTTAATAGACGGAATCAAATGAAGATCATATAATCATGAAAACCAACATTTATTTCTTTTATTTTTTTGAAGATTTATTTTATTTATACAAGAACTGGGATCCAGGCCAGAGTGCAGGAGGCTGAGAGAATTTGCCAGAGATAGAGGGAAAAACAGAACAGACAGAAAAACACTGCTGAGGGGAGCAGTGGGTGAGACAGGAGAGGTCTGCTGCACCATGTGGGTATGTCCCTGGCCAGCCGGGATTGAACCCCCACCGTAGAGACTGTGGACAGCTTCACAGCACTGCCTCAAGCCGATGTGCCACTGGAGAGGCCCGAAAACCAACATTTATTGAACATATGACATCAGCACACACCTGCTAAGAATTTTGCTACCTGAACTCATTTAATCTTCACAGTCACCAGAACAAATTGGTTTTATATTATCACAAGGCCTAGGTTTTATATTATCACAAGGCCCAAAAAACTAAGGCCTAGAGAACAGGAGAATGATGGAGATGTCAACACAGAAAAAACAAACAAATTGGTAATAGGCCTCACTGTAAGGTGTAGACAGGATATGATCATTTATTTAGCAAAGCCACGAGCAACTGCTTGTTGTTACATTTGTGTGGACTAGGCTTGGTTCAGTTTGTTATTTCTTTGAGTGAAATGGAAGGAAGTCTGTCTCCTAATGGTCAGCTCTGCTGCTTCCTCTGGTAATTTCCCATTGTGGAAAGAAAATGCTAATGTTTTTCAGTCAACTTAGATTCATGGTCAACTTTAGATCAGTTTCTTATAAAGAAGTATGAGAGAACCTACAATTCTGGAGCATGTTCGTTTCTCACATTGACATAAAAATTACTTTTTAAGAAGAAATAAAGTTTTACTACACCATATTTTATGGATACCTTAGCAAAGACCCATACTCTCTTGAGACTCATACTTCCCTCCATAGCCCGTTCTTGTACATTTTCATAGCATATGCAAATAATCTTTGCAACTTTCAAAAAAAAAAAAAAGTTTTAATTTGGTCATGAGAAAACTGTGTTGCAACTCTTACATTGAATGAAACATTAAAATTTTTTCATGCATTATTTTTAAATTTTTTTTTTAAAGATTTATTTATTGATACAACAACCTGGTTACAGGGGCCTCCCCGGTGGCGCAGCGGTTGAGCGCTGGGTTGCGAAGTTGCCCGAAGCCTTTGCAGCACCGGTTCAATCACCGGCTGCTCCCCGGTCACCGGAGCGGGGTCCCACATGGTGCGCAGACCTCTCCTGCCGCCCGCTGCTCCCCTCAGCAGTGTACTTCGGTCCTTCTGCCTGCTCTGCTCCCCGCTCTGGCTCTGATGAATTCTCTCACCATCCCGTGCTTCTGACTGTACCCAGTGCTTGTATAAATCAATCAATCAATCAATCAATCAATCTTTAATTAAAAAAAAGAAGAAAGAACCAGGTTACAGGCCAGTTGCATGGGAGGCTGAGAGGATTCACCAGAGACAGAGCGGGGAACAGAACAGGCAGGCTGATGAAATACACTGCTGAGGGGAGCAGCGGGCAAGACAGGAGAGGCCTGCCCGCCATGTGGTTTTCTCCATGGCCGACCAGGATTGAATTTGCACTGCAGAAGCTACAGACATCCACAGCCCAGCGCTCAACCGTTTGTGCCACCAGGGGGACCCTTCATAAATTATTTAATTTGAAATATTTGCCTTATAGATCCAAGTGTGCTCCAGTCCACTATATTTGATTTCAACACTCAGTGATCAAAATGGATAAGAGCTATCACTCCCTTTTCTTTTTTGTCATATGCCTGCTTTTGGAGGGTTCACTTTCAGTAATGATTATAATACTCATGCTGGTCACTTACATTACTTTTCATTCCCTTTATTAGGTACCAGAAACTTGTTCTAATTATTTTACATGGACCATCTCATTTAATGCTCACAACAATCTGTTGAGAAGAATATTCTTGTTACCTCTCCTCTCTCTCTCAACCCTTCTCGATTTAATGGTGAGGAAGGCACAGAGAGGTTAAGACACTTGTGTGTTCCTTACATGATCTTGCTCCAGTCTTTCTTCTTAATCACCATGCTCTAATGCCTCCTTCTAGAAACTACATGGTACCACTTTATGAAGAGCTGTTGCCGATGCAAAAGAATAAATAAACAAGAAAGTCTTACTGCAGTCTGTTTGCTAAGGAACTAAATAGGTTTATTTACTAATTAAGGGACTTTCTCTTGAATCCCATTCTCTTCCCGGGAGGAATCATTGTAACTTATCACAGCCTATGATGAGTAGATCTTTGGGGTTGCTTGAGAGTTGTCAAAGCAGTGAATGATCAACATACCTGTGGAGGAGCTTTTCTACTGTGTTAAGACTGACTTCTTCTCTCTCCCTTTTTTCCCTTTTATCTTACAGTAAACAAGAAGATGCAGCAAGACCAAAGGCTAAAAGACAAACAATAGAGGTACTTTTCTCAGAATGCTCATGTCACGCGCCAACATTTTTTTCTCTAAAATAGGGCTTGATTCATAAAAAGTGGAATGGCGATTTACTTTTTAAGAGATAGTCCTCATATTTAACTTGTTTTAGGTTTTCACTATCAAGCAAATTGTGAAAGCCAATTTTTACTATTTGTTAACTTCAATGTACATAACTTATGTTAGCTGGAACCATATTTTTTATGAGTAATTCAGAACTGGAAAATTATTTTGGCCCTAATGTCTGTGACATGGTCACACACCTTTCACTTTTCTTCACTCCTCTCCCTGGTCTCCTCTTTCAAATCCACATCCCACACCCCAGATGTTACCAAGTATCACCCAGAAAAGGGTCAGTTTCTCTTGGCATCTCTTATCTGTTCTCTCCTCTCTATCTCTTTTTTTCAGATTTATCTTTATCTTAGTTTGATCATGTTTTTATCTCTTCTTTTTCAGCTTTCTAAAGACAAATCGAGGCTTTGTAATATTCTCTCCCCTTTTTGCACATTATTGTTATTTCATGGTTCTCTCACCATTGACTACACTCGACATGTAACATTGTAAAGATTGTAAGGCGTGTCCAACATGCTTATTCGATCATTTATATATTGCAAAATGATTGCCACCATCATGTTAGCTGATGCCTCACATAATTCCCATTTCTTTTTGTCATGAGAACATTTATGTTTTACTCATTTAGCAACTTTCTAGCATGTCATACAGGATTATTAGCTATAATCATCATGCAGTATACTAGACCCCCAGAATTTTTCACCTTATAACTGGACGCTTGTACCCTCTGACCAACGTCTTGCCATAGGCCTTCCCCAACCTCAGGCCCTGGTCCCCATCACTCTGCTCTCTGTGAGGCTAGTGTGGCTCATTTAGAGTCTACATGGAAGTGACATTATGCAGTATTTGTCAAGCCCTGTTCTACTCATTACCACTAGCATAATGCATCAAGGTCCATCCAAGTAAAATTGGAAAGATTCTTCCTTCTCATGAAAACTCAGCAATATTCTCTTTTCCTGCAGGAAACCTCCCATAATGGCCTGTTCAATGGCCTCACCTTTGATCTTTCATAGCTTTATAGACTGCAGTGTGCAACACAACACACACAAAAATATTTTACATTAGTCTACAAATTTTGTCATTCTCCTTCTATACCTATGTTGTCCACGTCTTCTGGAGAATTATCCTGATAAATACTTACAGATCAACTCTCCAGCCAGGACAATTCTGGATTGGATGGAAATTGCATACTAATGTACTGCTAGATATAATCAGATTTTTTTTGTCTCCAACTCTGTATTTACATATACCTCATGGTAGGCAGTGATGCAGAAAGCATAGAAAACTGGTTTGAGAAAATATCTTCTTCATTTTCCAGGATTTGTGCAGTGAATTTCGCAGTCACGTGAGGGATGGCAAGCTTAGTTGCACCAAGGAGAACGCACCTGTCCGTAGTCCAGATGGCAAAATGCAGGGAAACAAGTGCATCATGTGTGCGAACCTCTTGTGAGTGTCCCCTTTGCCTCCCAGGAACCTCTCACCTGCCGCCACCCCTGACAGTCGGCTTCTTGAGAAATATGTATACTCTGCATATTTCTCAGTGTTGCATGCTAGATAATCTTGGAAGCATATACACAGGATTTTTAGTAACATTAAATCACAGGGGACAGTGTTATTCTGTATTCAGTTATCCTTCTATTGTCTGCTTAAGTCATGAGCAAAGTCTTAATTCTGTGCTAATATGCTTTGAACACTTGACAATCATGAGCCCCAGCAAAGAATGAGCAGAAGTCTGGTGATCTGAATGGGATGATATCTGTGGTCTCTCTCCCACGCCAGGCATTTTTTTTTTCATTCCTGTGACTATATTCATATATTGATAGAGGAAAAGCCACCTGGACAGAAGTCTGTGGGGATAGTGTGTAAAGACTTTTAAAATAACTCAAACAAGTGGAGTAGGGAAGATCGTATTACAATCATAAATATGGTAAATATTTATCCTTTCAGGATAATATGTTGAAAGGATAAATATGTTGAAGTGGCTTAGTGGAGACAGTGAAACTCCTAAGAGGCAGACCCCTGCCATAGCTGTTTTCTAGTGTCTTTCCATTAAACCAGGCCCAGGGCCTTATAAGTCATTGATTTGCTGAATGAGATCAGAGCTCCAGTGGTGAGGACAATCGTGAAACTGATTATTGCCACCTCTCCTTCTCCTCCTTCCTAATCCCCTACAGAATCTCAAGCTACAATTAAGAAAAACATTTAAATAATATCTGTTGAAATAGATTTGATTTTTTAATTTTTTAAAAGATTTATTTTTTTATGCATACAAGAACTGGGGTACAGGCCAGAGGTGTATGGGATGAGAGGATCCACCAGAGACAGAGTGGGGAGCAGAACAGGCGGACTGACGGAAATACACTGCTGAGAGGAGCAGTGGGCAAGGCAGGAGAGGTCCGCTGCTCCATGTGGGTCACCTCCCTGGCTGGGGATCAAACTCATGCTGCAGTGGCTGCGGAGAGTTTCATAGTGCAGCATCTTAACCCCTTGCACCACCAGGGAGGCCCTAATTGTTATTTTTTAACTTTCACACATGTGGGTCTAGTCTTAAGTTTAGATACATAGTACCTTAATAGAGGAGATTGACAGAGATGGCCAGTGGGATAAACAGTGGCCTGAGAGTAAAAGAATCAGGACTTTTCTCTCACTGCTGTGATGGTACTATGGTAATGCCTTGATGCGATGTAATAAATACTAAAGATCTTTCCCTTTCATATGCCCCATGTCAGTAGAAAATGGTAAGAATGGCAAAATATTAGGCTCATGATCAAGCTCAAAAATTGGTGTTGGCTCTTCCCGAACCTGAATCATTGTTGCACTCTCAAACTCAAATTTCAGCTTGAATATTAATTCTAATAATACCTAAAAGGTTTATACATGAAGTATTGTTTATTTTTACTAGGGGTCCATTGTTCAACTTGCTACGACCCCTGGCTTTCACCATTGATATGATAGTTATTTAGTTAGAGTAAACTTGCACAATTAAAAAAGTCAATTGTGGGGCCTCCCTGGTGGTGTAAGAGATTAAGACACAGCCTCTGAAGCTCTCCACAGCCACTGCAGCACGAGTTTGATCCCCGGCCAGGGAGCTGCCCACATGGTGCAGCAGTCCCATCCTGTCTTGTCTGCTATTCCCCTTAGCAGTGTATTTCAGTATATCTGCCTGTTCTGTGCGTCACTCTGTCTCTGGTGAATCCTCTCACTCTCCTGCACCTCTGGTCTATACCCCAGTTCTTGTATAAATAAATAAATCTTTAAAAAAATTATTTAATAAAACAAATACCTGAAAGAAAAAAAAAGTCAATTGTGGCTTTCCAAGATCATTCATTGAAGTCACAAATGTATAGAAATAAGATCACATACTAGGAAAACTGAACATGGGAGTTTTTATTTTGCAAAGGAAAATTATAAGCTGCTGAATTGATCTGCATTGTTGGGCCAAGCAATATCACTTCCAGCAATACCACTTCCAGGGGTACTTGAATCAGTGTCAAGGGGGGACCTTATATTAAGAACAGATTCCCCCAGAGCTGATGGCACCCAAGGACTGCAACTTTCACTCTCTGCATGCACACTGCCAGAATAATCTAAGGATGTATTCTTTATCAGCGCTAAACATTGACCGTTTCTTAACATCAAGTCATTGTTTTTAAGTATCCTAGATTCTTTCTGGGTAGAAGGACAACCTCTTTAGTTTCTGAAGGAAACAGTCATGACAATTTACTGATTTGGTATGGCATGTGTGTCTTATTTAAGTGGCACTAAAAAGAACAATATGGAGAAGTGTACAACACATTAAGTTGGTAGAGGTATAAAAGTTATATGGGCTATGTCTATCTAGAGAGGTGACTTCTCCTTTAGAATAAATATGGCTGTGATATTTTTCTATTTCCTTCTTGTTTATTTCACTGAGCATAATTCCCTCTAGCTCCATCCACTTTACTGTAAATGGCATGAGTTTTTCATTTTTCGTTGCTAAATAATATTCCATTGTGTATAGGCCACATCTTCTTGATCCAGTCATCTATTTTTGGGCATTTGGGTTGTTTCCAGGTTTTACCTAGTGTAAATAGAGCTGCAATTACATAGGGGTACAGGTGTTCTTTTGAATCAATGTTTTTGTGTCCTTTGGGTAGATTCCTAGGAGTGGAATTGCCAGGTCATATGGTAGCCTGAGGTCATATGGTAGCCTCAGTAGACTGAGGAACCTGCGGACAGCTTTCCATAGTGGCTGGACCAGCTTACACTCCCACCAGCAATGTAGGATGGTTTCCCTTATAGCAGGAATACAGGGAACCAAATAAGACATCAGTGTGAAAAATAATAACACTCCAAAACACAACAAAGCAAGAACAGACAATTATAGAGGAGAGACATCCTGCAGGGGAAGAGGAGGGAGAGGGGTCAGAGGGAGGGAGGGAGGAGCACAGGGGCCTGAGGTGATGGTGCACGGGTGCATTGGTGAAGGAAACTCTATGGGGACTGCACCTGAGGGGGAGGGTATTGTTTAAAAATGAACAATGATGTAAAAAAATAAAATAAAATAAAAAAATAAAAGGTAAAATTTAAAAAAAAAATTATGGTTGCTACAATGCTTATCTTCCTGACCATCTCCTTCCCTCTTACAGCCAGCAAGAAGCAAAGGAGAAAAGAGAAGCTGAATCCAGAGCAAAAGCAAAGAGAGAAGCTGACAAGGTAATTTTCCTGAAGGGACATAATATAATGAAAAATGGGAAGTGTTGCAATTTCTCAGTAAAAATAATGCATGGAGTTACCAGACACCTACTTGAGGGAATTTGAGCTTCATTTAGCCTTGACAGAGTTTTCTTTTAATGGGCTAAATAACAGATATATTAGGTTGTGGCCATTCAGTCTCTTTCACAACCACTGGATTATGCTGTTGTAGCTCTGAAGCAGCCAAAGGTCATGTGCAGACAGACAGGCAGGACTTGTTCTGATAGCACTGGAGTTACAAAGAAGGTGGTGGGCCAGATCTTTGCCTAGAAGTCGTACTTTGCAAACCCCTGATTTCCTCCATTCTCATGTTTAAAATGAAGATTTAAAATCCAGAGAGAAAGAACTTAAGTTAGTGGTATATTGGTACCACACTACAAAGAGTAATTATCTTCATGTTTCAGAGTGTTCATAGCTAGAAAGTAGAAACATCCGAATTCAAACCACTGGCCACTATAATTCTAAGGTTTCCTGATGCCAAATCCTGCACTTATCTTAACGAACTTTTTTGCTTTTATATGACTGAATTTGGTCAAACCAGTTGTATGTTCTTTGTTTCACCTTGAATTATATTTTGGTGCCAGCACCACCAAATAATATATGTTTGGTTCAAAAAGAAGAATTCAGGTACATTTTTTCCAGATTTATGGCATTTCCTTGCTCCCAGAAAGGTTATTGACATTAGAAATGATCTGTCTGGGGCTCCCTGGTGGCTCAGGGGGTTAAGACACAACCTATGAAGTTGTCCGCAGCCACTGCAGCACAAATTTGACCCCCGCCAGGGAGCAACTCACATGGTGCAGCAGACCTCTCCTGTCTCACTGGCTGCTCCCCTCAGCGGTGTATTTCAGTAGATCTGTCTCTTCTGCTCCCAACTCTGTCTCTGGTGAATCCTCTCACACCCTTAACCACCACCCCCCTCCACACTCATACCTCTGGTCTACACCCTGGTACTTCTAAGGAAAAAAAAAAAATAAAATAAAATAAAATTCAGGGCTCAGAGAAGTGTCACATCAGTCTGGGCCAGTGTAGGTGTTTCGGTTGTCTGCTTGGGATCAGAATGAAACGTGCCTCGACTTACTTTCTCTGTCCTGGCAGGATGTGTGCGATGACTACCGCCGCTTTGCGGTGAATGGAAGAATCCCGTGTGTCAGGGAGGGCGACCCCATCCGGGGCCCTGATGGGAAGATGTATGACACCACTTGCTACATGTGTCAGGCCATCATGTGAGTGGCACTGTGGCTGGGAAATAATGGAGGGTTTTGTCCTTTGTGCTTCATTGGTTTTCTTTTGTTTGTTTTACCAGATTTTCTTCCTTAAATTGTGCTCGTTTCTTTTCGTTATACCTTTTTATTATTATTATTTTTTTGTATGGTGTCTTAATTATCACAGAATAAGTCCTGCAAATCAGGCACTGGGTAAGTCCCTGTGGCGATATAAGGTTGCAGAATGGACATGAAATCAGCTTATCTCACATAACAAGTCATGAAGTAGGCATGTCAGTATCAGAACACTGCTTCCGTTCATACCCAGGAATTGGGACCGGGGTGGGGAAAGACTTGGAATAAGCAATGACTGGGATCTGGGGAGGTTCACCTCTCCTCTCCCATGTGCTTGTCAGTTTCCACAGCTCCGCTGAGGCCTTCTCCGTGTCCCTAACCCCTGATTTCTCTTTCCTAGTAACCAAGACTTTTCCTTCATAGTACTAATCGCCCTCATTCACTGTAAATTTATGTGAGTGATATTTGTTTAAGATTTCTCTCTTCTCCCGGACAATTATTGTTACTATGGAAGGAATTCTAGAGAATGTGGGCCCTGAATTGGGATTAGCTTTTTGCTTCATTTCTTTTGTTTTAATTATGTGAGAGCCACCTTCAACAGGAAAATAAAAATGTATTTGGAGGAAATGCCTGTTTGGAGAAATGTATAAAAATGTCTTTTGAGAATTGTTAAGGCTTGGCACATTTATTTAGGGGGAAAGTCGTAACTTTGAAATACACAGGTAGTTTTTGTTCTTTAAATGTGTACACAGGCCTAATTCTCAGTTGTCTCCATGGATGGCAGTGGGACCAGTGAAAGTCCCAGAAGGTAGGCTCAGTGCAGTGCCAGAAAGAACTTTCCAACAGTTTGGCTTAAGGACTTCAGGATGGAATGACCTACGAAAGGATCTCAAGGATGATGGTGGGTGGCAAATCACTGGCAGCTTAAAACAAAGTGAGCTAGTAATCGGAGGTACAGTTGTGAGTATTGGAAGTTTAGGCAACCATCTCTGGATAAGCTTTTAAATCCTCAGTCTACACTTAGTAGCTCCAGGTCCTGGGGCAAGTTATACATTCTGTCTTCCTACCTGCGAACTGAGATCGTGGTAAAGGTTTTGCTGCTTTCAAGGGTGAGGAGTTGGCAGCATGTGCAAAGGTGAGAACTTAGCATATGCTAAGTGAGAACTTAGTATATACTAACTGTAACAATGAAATGAGATCACTTTTTATGGGGGATTCTGTGATTCTGACATCTCTTTTTTAATCACTCTCTTTTTAGACTCACAGAATATGAAAAGAAAAACTTGAATGGCAGAGCAGTAAATAAAAGACAGTCTGACTCAGTGACTTCCTTTGAGGTGAGAAAACCTTCTCAGACAATTCAGAGGCACATGAGCATGCTATCCAGAAATGGCTTTCAGGGAGCTTCCGAGCTCCCAGAAACTGTATGAAACATTTGTTTGTGGTCTTATGTGTGTGCATGTACATGTGTGACCATTTCTAGGTGGAGAATCCATAAATTTTACTGCTTAAAAGTATTCATGTCTCAAAAGTTAAGAATTTTAAAAAAAGCCATGCCATTGAAAGTTTCAACTTAAGCTATTTTTTTTTAAATATCTGCTTTTGTTTATTTATGTACACAAGATCTAGGGTGTAGGCCAGAGATTCAGGAGGTGAGAGGATTCACCAGAGACAGAATGGGGAGCAGAAGGCAGATCTACCGAGGTGTACTGCTGAGGGGCGCATTAAGCGTGTCAGGAGAGGTCAGCTGCGCCATATGGGTCAGCTCCCTGCAGGGGATGGAACTCATGTCGCAGTGGCTGCCGGTAGCTGGACAGTGCTGTGACTTAACCCCTCACCCCACTAGAGGAGGCCCCTAAATTTAAGCAGTGTGTGCATTCTGATCCAACCTGTGTGCAGCACCTCATCTGCCCTACTTGGCTTCACAGGAAGTGTGCAGCAAATACCGCGAATTGAGGAGGAATGGGGGGCTTGGGTGCACCAGAGAGGACAACCCCATGAGAGGCCCTGACGGGAAGATGTATGGCAATGAGTGCTACATGTGTGACGCCTACTTGTGAGTAGCACCCGGCTTCTGAGTGGGGAGAGCAACTGCTAAGGGCATTTTTCCTGTAACCCTGAATAGTGCTCTTCCCTCTTCACTGTAGCTCTTCGTTTGCAGCACCACATTCAAGTGAACTTAAAAAAAAAAATCACAAACCCAAAAATCATATGGAGAGCTGATTATCTTGTTGATAATGATTGTGATAGTGAGAGATGCAGAATCATTTCTATTAGGACCTTCCAAAAGAAACTCAGAATATTCTATTCAGACAAGAGGAGATGATAACCCTACTAATGACTTTTAGTTTTCTGAAGGAGTATCAGAAATAGGACATGGATGAGAGTACATGCAATAAATCAGTAAGACGCACGGCAAGTTTTATAAACGATTTTAGTTTACTATCCTTATTCCTACTCATTGTGTGTGACCTCAAGGAATAGAATTAAAGTGGGCAAGAGCTAGGGGAGACAGATTTGGACCCCATGTGAACTTTCAAATCATAGTAGTTCAAGTGGGTTACGCCTGCTTCAGAAATGGTGGCTCTGCTGTGGAGGAATTGGCCACCCACTCATAAGGATGAAGTATAACTTTAGGTGACTTGAGCTCTCCCCTCAAACAATCGTCTATGATGTCCCTTAAGTCTTTGGATCTTTATGCCAAGCATGGGATGCTCCTATTTATTTAATTTATGCCTGGAATCTCTGAAAGGATTCAACCATTGAGTCTTCCTTGGTAGAGAGCAACATTAGTTCCAGTGTTTGCACCAAAGAAGCAGTAAAGTTTTAATAGACGGAATCAAATGAAGATCATATAATCATGAAGACCGACATTTATTTCTTTTATTTTTTTGAAGATTTATTTTATTTATACAAGAACTAGTGTCTAGGCTGGAGTGCAGGAGGCTGAGAGAATTCGCCAGAGATAGAGGGAAAAACAGAACAGACAGAAAAACACTGCTGAGGGGAGCAGTGGGTGAGACAGGAGAGGTCTGCTGCGCCATGTGGGTATGTCCCTGGCCAGCCGGGATTGAACCCCCACCGTAGAGACTGCGGACAGCTTCACAGCACTGCCCTCAAGCCGACGTGCCACTGGATAGGCCCGAAAACCAACATTTATTGAACATGTGACATCAGCACACACCTGCTAAGAATTTTGCTACCTGAACTCATTTAATCTTCACAGTCACCAGAACAAATTGGTTTTATATTATCACAAGGCCTAGGTTTTATATTATCACAAGGCCCAAAATAATTAAGGCCTAGAGAACTCAAGAATGATGGAGATGTCAACACAGGAAAAATAAATTGTTAATAGACCTCACTGTAGGGTGTAGACAGGATATGGTCACTTATTTAGCAAAGCCACGAGCAACTGCTTGTTGTTACATTTGTGTGGACTTAGGCTTGGTTCAGTCTGTTATTTCTTTGAGTGAAATGGAAGGAAGTCTGTCCCCTAATGGTCAGCTCTGCTGCTTCCTCTGGTAATTTCCCATTGTGGAAAGAAAATGCTAATGTTTTTCAGTCAACTTAGATTCATGGTCAACTTTAGATCAGTTTCTTATAAAGAAGTATGAGAGAACCTACAATTCTGGAGCATGTTCGCTTCTCACATTAACATAAAAATTACTTTTTAAAAAGAAATAAAGTTTTACTACACCATATTTTATGGATACGTTAGCAAAGACCCATACTCTCTTGAGACTCATACCTCCCTCTATAGTCCATTCTTGCACATTTTCATAGCATATGCAAATAATTTTTCCAACTTTCAAAAAAAAGGTTTTAATTTAGTCAATGAGAAAACTGTGTTTCACTCTTGTGTTGAATGAAACATATTAAAATGTTTTCATGAATTGTTTTTAATTTTCTTTGAAAGATTTATTTATTGATACAAGAACCGGGTTACAGGCCAGCTGCACGGGAGGGTGAGAGGATTCATCAGAGACAGATGAGGAGGCAGAGTAGGCAGATCTACTGAAATACATGGAAGGGGGCAGTGGGCGGGACAGGAGATGTCTGCCAGTGATGTGGGTATCTCCCCGGCCAGCCCTGATCGAACCCACAGTGCAGAAGATGCAGACAGCTTCCCGGAGCTGCGCTCAACCACCTGTGCCACCAGGGAGGCCCTTCATAAATCATTTAATTTGAATTATTTGCCTTAGAAATCCAAGTGTGTTATAGATCTAGAACACTAATTTTGATTTCAAGACTCAGTGATCAAAATGGATAAGAGCTATCACTCTCTTTTCTTTTTTGTCATATGCCTGCTTTTGGAGGGTTCACTTTCAGTAATGATTATAATACTCATGCCAGTTACTTACATTACCTTTCCTTCCCTTTATTAGGTACCAGAAAATTATTCTAATTATTTTACATGGACCATCTCATTTAATGCTCACAACAATCTGTTGAGAAGAATATTCTTGTTACCTCTCCTCTCTCTCCCAACCCTTCTCGATTTAATGGTGAGGAAGGCACAGAGAGGTTAAGACACGTGTGTGTTCCTTACGTGATCTGGCTCCAGTCTTTCCTCTTGATCACCATGCTCTAATGCCTCCTTCTAGAAACTACATTGTACCACTTTATGAAGAGCTGTTGCCGATGCAAAAGAATAAATAAACAAGAAAGTCTTACTGCAGTCTGTTTGCTAGGGAACTAAATAGGTTTATTTACTAATTAAGGGACTTTCTCTTGAATCCCATTCTCTTCCTGCGAGGAATCATTGTAACTTATCACAGCCTATGATGAGTAGATCTTTGGGGTTGCTTGAGAGTTGTCAAAGCAGTGAATGATCAACATACCTGTGGAGGAGCTTTTCTACTGTGTTAAGACTGACTTCTTCTCTCTCCCTTTTTTCCCTTTTATCTTACAGTAAACAAGAAGATGCAGCAAGACAGAAAAGACAAACAACAGAGGTACTTTTCTCGGAATGCTCATGTCACGTGCCAACATTTTTTTCTCTAAAATAGGGTTTGATTCATAAAAAGTGGAATGGCGATTTACTTGGTAAGAGATAGTCCTCATATTTGACTTGCTTTAGGTTTTCACTATCAAATGAATTGTGAAAGCCAATTTTTACTATTTGTTAACTTCAATGTACATAACTTATGTTAGCTAGAACCATATTTTTTATGAGTAATTCAGAGGAAAATTATTTCGGCCTGATGTCTGTGCCATGGTCTCACTCCTTTCCCTCTTCTTCACTCTTCTCCGTGGTCTCCTCTTTCAAATCCACATCCCACACTCCAGATGTTACCAAGTAGCACCCAGAAAGGGGTCAATTTCTCTTGGCACCTCTTAACTGTTCTCTCCTCTCTATCTCTTTTTTTCAGATTTATCTTTATCTTAGTTTGATCATGTTTTTATCTCTTCTTTTTCAGCTTTCTAAAGACAAATCGAGGCTTCGTAATATTCTCTCCCTTTTTTGCACATTATTGTAATTTCATGGTTCTCTCACCATTGACTACACTCGACATGTAACATTGTAAAGATTGTAAGGCGTGTCCAACATGCTTATTCTATCATTTATATATTGCAAAATAATTGCCACCATCATGTTAGCTGATGCCTCACATAATTCCCATTTCTTTTTATCATGAGAACATTTATGTTTTACGCATTTAGCAACGTTCAAGGTGAACATTTCTAGGTGGAGGATCCATAAATTTTACTGCTTAAAATTATTCATGTCTCAAAAGTTAAGAATTTTAAAAAAAGCCATGCCATTGAAAGTTTCAACTTAAGCTATTTTTTTTTTAAATATCTGCTCTTATTTATTTATGTACACAAGATCTAGGGTTTAGGCCAGAGATTCAGGAGGTGAGAGGATTCACCAGAGACAGAATGGGGAGCAGAACAGGCAGATCTACAGAGGTACACTGCTGAGGGGAGCATTAAGCAAGTCAGGAGAGGTCAGCTGCGCCATATGGGTCAGCTCCCTGCAGGGGATCGAACTCATGTTGCAGTGGCTGCCGGTAGCTGGACAGTGCGGTGACTTAACCCCTCACCCCACTAGAGGAGGCCCCTCAATTTAAGCAGTGTGTGCATTCTGATCCAACCTGTGTGCAGCACCTCATCTGCCCTCCTTGGCTTCACAGGCAGTGTGCAGCAAATACCACGAAATGAGGAGGAATTGGGGGCTTGGGTGCACCAGAGAGGACGACCCCGTGAGAGGCCCTGACGGGAAGATGTATGGCAATGAGTGCTACATGTGTGACGCCTTCTTGTGAGTAGCACCCGGCTTCTGAGTGGGGAGAGCAACTGCTAAGGGCATTTTTCCTATAACCCTGAATAGTGCTCTTCCCTCTTCACTGTAGCTCTTCGTTTGCAGCACCACATTCAAGTGAACTTAAAAAAAAAAACACAAACCCAAAAATCATGTGGAGAGCTGATTATCATGTTGATAATGATTGTGATAGTGAGAGATGCAGAATCATTTCTTTTAGGACCTTCCAAAAAAACTCAGAATATTCTATTCAGACAAGAGGAGATGATAACCCTGCTCTTGACTTTTAGTTTTCTGAAGGAGTATCAGAAATAGGACATGGATGAGAGTACATGCAATAAATCAGTAAGATGCATGGCAAGTTTAAGAAACGATTTTAGTTTACTATCCTTATTCCTACTCATTGTGTGTGACCTCAAGGAATAGAATTAAAATGGGCAAGAGCTAGGGAAGACAGATTTGGACCCCATGTGAACTTTGCAAATCATAGCAGTTCAAGTGGGTTACGCCTGCTTCAGAAATGGTGGCTCTGCTGTGGAGGAATTGGCCACCCACTCATAAGGACTGAAGTATAACTTTAGGTGACTTGAGATCTACCCTCAAACAATCGTCTATGATGTCCCTTAAGTCTTTGGATCTTTATGCCAAGCATGGGATGCTCCTATTTATTTAATATATGCCTGGAATCTCTGAAAGGATTCAACCATTGAGTCTTCCTTGGTAGAGAGCAACATTAGTTCCAGTGTTTGCACCAAAGAAGCAGTAAAGTTTTAATAGACGGAATCAAATGAAGATCATATAATCATGAAGACCAACATTTATTTCTTTTATTTTTTTGAAGATTTATTTTATTTATACAAGAACTAGTGTCTAGGCTGGAGTGCAGGAGGCTGAGAGAATTCGCCAGAGATAGAGGGAAAAACAGAACAGACAGAAAAACACTGCTGAGGGGAGCAGTGGGTGAGACAGGAGAGGTCTGCTGCACCATGTGGGTATGTCCCTGGCCAGCCGGGATTGAACCCCCACCGTAGAGACTGCGGACAGCTTCACAGCACTGCCCTCAAGCCGACGTGCCACTGGAGAGGCCTGAAAACCAACATTTATTGAACATGTGACATCAGCACACACCTGCTAAGAATTTTGCTACCTGAACTCATTTAATCTTCACAGTCACCAGAACAAATTGGTTTTATATTATCACAAGGCCTAGGTTTTATATTATCACAAGGCCCAAAAAGTTAAGGCCTACAGAACACAAGAATGATGGAGATGTCAACACAGGAAAAATAAATTGTTAATAGACCTCACTGTAAGGTGTAGACAGGATATAGTCATTTATTTAGCAAAGCCATGAGCAACTGCTTGTTGTTACATTTGTGTGGAATTAGGCTTGGTTCAGTTTGTTATTTCTCTGAGTGAAATGGAAGGAAGTCTGTCCCCTAATGGTCAGCTCTGCTGCTTCCTCTGGTAATTTCCCATTGTGGAAAGAAAATGCTAATGTTTTTCAGTCAACTTAGATTCATGGTCAACTTTAGATCAGTTCTTATAAAGAAGTATGAGAGAACCTACAATTCTGGAGCATGTTCGCTTCTCACATTAACATAAAAATTACTTTTTAAAAAGAAATAAAGTTTTACTACACCATATTTTATGGATACGTTAGCAAAGACCCATACTCTCCTGAGACTCATACCTTCCTCCAGAGTCCATTCTTGTACATTTTCATAGTATATGCAAATAATTTTTCCAACTTTCAAAAAAAGTGGTTTAATTTGGTCAATGAGAAAACTGTGTTTCACTCTTGTGTTGAATGAAACATATTAAAATGTTTTCATGAATAGTTTTTTAATTTTCTCTGAAAGATTTATTTATTGATACAAGAACCGGGTTACAGGCCAGCTGCACGGGAGGGTGAGAGGATTCATCAGAGGCAGATGAGGGGGCAGAGTAGGGAGATCTACTGAAATACATGGAAGGGGGCAGTGGGCGGGACAGGAGAGGTCTGCCAGTGATGTGGGTATCTCCCTGGCCAGCCCTGATCGAACCCACAGTGCAGAAGATGCAGACAGCTTCCCAGAGCTGCGCTCAACCACCTGTGCCACCAGGGAGGCCCTTCATATATCATTTAATTTGAATTATTTGCCTTAGAAATCCAAGTGTGTTATAGATGTAGAACACTAATTTTGATTTCAAGACTCAGTGATCAAAATGGATAAGAGCTATCACTCTCTTTTCTTTTTTGTCATATGCCTGCTTTTGGAGGGTTCACTTTCAGTAATGATTATAATACTCATGCTGGTCACTTACATTAATTTTCATTCCCTTTATTAGGTACCATAAACTTATTCTAATCATTTTACATGGACCATCTCATTTAATGCTCACAACAATCTGTTGAGAAGAATATTCTTGTTACCTCTCCTCTCTCTCCCAACCCTTCTCGATTTAATGGTGAGGAAGGCACAGAGAGGTTAAGACACTTGTGTGTTCCTTACGTGATCTGGCTCCAGTCTTTCCTCTTGATCACCATGCTCTAATGCCTCCTTCTAGAAACTACATGGTACCACTTTATGAAGAGCTGTTGCCGATGCAAAAGAATAAATAAACAAGAAAGTCTTACTGCAGTCTGTTTGCTAGGGAACTAAATAGGTTTATTTACTAATTAAGGGACTTTCTCTTGAATCCTGTTCTCTTCCTGGGAGGAATCATTGTAACTTATCACAGCTTATGATGAGTAGATCTTTGAGTAGTAAAAGCAGTGAATGTTCAACCTACATGTGGAGGAGCTTTTCTACTGTGTTAAGACTGACTTCTTCTCTCTCCCTTTTTTCCCTTTTATCTTACAGTAAACAAGTAGACAGAGCAAGACCAAAGGCTAAAAGACAAACAACAGAGGTACTTTTCTCAGGAATGCTCTTGTTACGTGCCAACATTTTTTTCTCTAAAATAGGGTTTGTTTCATAAAATGTGGAATGGCGATTTACTTGGTAAGAGCTAGTCCCCATATTGGACTTGTCTTAGGTTTTCACTATCAAGCAAATTGTGAAAGCCAATTTTTACTATTTGTTAACTTCAATGTACATAACTTATGCTAGCTGGAACTGTATTTTTTATGAGTAATTCAGAACTGGAAAATTATTTCGGCCTGATGTCTGTGCCATGGTCTCACACCTTTCCCTTTTCTTCACTCTTCTCCGTGGTATTCTCTTTTAAATCCACATCCCACACCCGAGATGTTACCAAGTAGCACCCAGAAAGGGGTCAGTTTCTCTTGGCATCTCTTACCTGTTCTCTCCTCTCTATCTCTTTTTTTCAGATTTATCTTTATCTTAGTTTGATCATGTTTTATCTCTTTCAGCTTTCTAAAAACAAATCGAGGCTTCGTAATATTCTCTCCCTTTTTTGCACATTATTGTTGTTTCATGGTTCTCTCACTGTTGACTACCCTCGACATGTAACATTGTAAAGATTGTAAGGCGTGTCCAACATGCTTATTTGATCATTTATATATTGCAAAATGATTGCCACCATTATGTTAGCTGATGCCTCACATAATTCCCATTTCTTTTTGTCATGAGAACATTTATGGTTTACTCATTTAGCAACGTTCAAGTATGTCATACAGGATTATTAGCTGTAATCATCATGCAGTATACTAGACCCCCAGAATTATTCACCTTTTAACTGGACGCTTGTACCCTCTGACCAACATCTTGCCATAGGCCTTCCCCAACCTTCCAGGCTGTGGTCCCCACCACTCTGCTCTCTGTGAGGCTAGTTTGGCTCATTTAGAGTCTACATGGAAGTGACATCATGCAGTATTTGTCAAGCCCTGTTCTACTCATTACCACTAGCATAATGCAGCAAAGTCCATCCAAGTAAAAGTGGAAGGATTCTTTCTTCTCAGGAAGACTCAGCAATATTCTCATTTCCTGCAGGAAACCTCCCATAATGGCCTGTTCAATGGCCTCACCTTTGATCTTTCATAGCTTTATAGACTGTAGTGTGCAACAGAACACACTCAAAAATATTATACCTTAGTCTACAAATTTGTCAGTCTCCTTCTATACCTATGTTGTCCTCTCCTTCAGGACAATTATCCTGATAAATACTTGCAGATCCACCCCCCATGCCAGGACAATTCTGGAGTGTGATGGAAATTGGATACATACTAATGTACCGCTAGATGTAATCACAATGTTTTTGTCTCCGACATATTCCTCATGGTAGGCAGTGATGCAGAAAGCATAGAAAACTGATTTGAGAAAATATCTTCTTCATTTTCTAGGATTTGTGCAGTGAATTTCGCAGCCACGTGAGGGATGGGAAGCTTAGTTGCACCAGGGAGAGCGACCCTGTTCGTGGTCCAGATGGCAAAATGTATGGAAACAAGTGCGCCCTGTGCGTGAGCCTCTTGTGAGTATTCCCCTCACCTCTCCAGAACCTCTCACCAGCCACCACCCCTGACGTTCATCTTCTTGAGAATTATGTATACGCTGCACATTTCTCAGTGTTGCATGCTAGATAATCTTGGACACATATACACAGGACTTTTAGTAACATTAAATCACAGGGGACAGTGTTATTCTATATTCAGTTTTCCTTCTATTGCCTGCTTAAGTCATGAGCAAAGTCTTAATTCTGTGCTAATAGGCTTGAACACTTGACAATCATCAGCCCCAGCAAAGAGTGAGCAGAGTCTGGTGATCTGAATAGGACGATATCTGTGGTCTCTGTCCCACCCCTGACATTTTTTTATTCCTGTGAATTTATTCATATATTGATTGAGGAAAAGCCAGTTGGACAGATGTCTGTGGGGACAGTGTGTAAAGACTTTTAAAATAACTTAAACAATATGATCCAGCAATTCCACTCCTAGGTATTTACCCAAATGACACAGAAACAGTAACTCCAAAGGGCACCTGCACCTCTATGTTTATAGCAGCACTATTTACAATAGCTAAGATATGGAAACAACCCCAATGCCAAAAATAGATGACTGGATCAAGAAGATGTGGTACATATACACTATGGAATATTACTCAGCAATCAAAAAAGATAAACACATGCAGTTTGCAGCAATATGGATGGAGCTAAAAGGGATCGTGATCAGCAAAATAAGTCAGAAAGAAAAAGAAAAATACTGGATGGTCTCACTCATAGCAGGAATTTAGAAAACCTAAATAAGAGACCAGGAAAAAGACTAATCAGTACAAAGTAATCATCAAAATCAACAAGCAACTATAAACCAGAGACACACTACAGGGGTGGGGGGAGGCGGGAGGAATCGGTGGGGAGAGGAAGAACTAGCAAAATAAGGGGGGGTGCAATTGTTTGGGGAATTGAAAATGCATACATAGTGCAAAGATGCAAAATGATGTAAGAATTATATAAAATAAAGTATTAAAAAATAACTTAAACAAGTAGAGAAGATCATATTACAATTGTAAATATGGTAAATATTTATCCTTTCAGGATAATATGTTGAAAGGATAAATATGTTGAAGTGGTTTAGTGGAGACAGTGAAACTCCTAAGAGGCAGACCCCTGCCATAGCTGTTTTCTAGTGTCTTTCCATTAAACCAGGCCCAGGGCCTTATAAGTCATTGATTTGCTGAATGAGATCAGAGCTCCGGTGGTGAGGGCAATCGTGAAACTGATTATTGCCACCTCTCCTTCTCCTCCTTCCTAATCCCCTACAGAATCTCAAGCTACAATTAAGAAAAACATTTAAATAATATCTGTTGAAATAGATTTGATTTTTTAATTTTTTTAAAGATTTATTTTTGAATGCATACAAGAACTGGGGTACAGGCCAGAGGTGTATGGGATGAGAGGATCCACCAGAGACAGAGTGGGGAGCAGAACAGGCGGACTGACGGAAATACACTGCTGAGAGGAGCAGCGGGCAAGGCAGGAGAGGTCCGCTGCTCCATGTGGGTCACCTCCCTGGCTGGGGATCAAACTCATGCTGCAGTGGCTGCGGAGAGTTTCATAGTGCAGCATCTTAACCCCTTGCACCACGGGAGAGGCCCTAATTGTTATTTTTTAACTTTCACACATGTGGGTCCAGTCTTAAGTTTAGATACATAGTTCCTTAATAGAGGAGATTGACAGAGATGGCCAATGGGATAAACAGTGGCCTGAGAGTAAAAGAATCAGGACTTTTCTCTCACTGCTGTGATGGTACTATGGTAATGCCTTGATGCGATGTAATAAATACTAAAGATCTTTCCCTTTCATATGCCCCATGTCAGTAGAAAATGGTAAGAATGGCAAAATATTAGGCTCATGATCAAGCTCAAAAACTGGTGTTGGCTCTTCCCGAACCTGAATCATTGTTGCACTCTCAAACTCAAATTTCAGCTTGAATATTAATTCTAATAATACCTAAAAGGTTTATACATGAAGTATTGTTTATTTTTACTAGGGGTCCATTGTTCAACTTGCTACGACCCCTGGCTTTCACCATTGATATGATAGTTATTTAGTTAGAGTAAACTTGCACAATTAAAAAAGTCAATTGTGGGGCCTCCCTGGTGGTGTAAGAGATTAAGACACAGCCTCTGAAGCTCTCCACAGCCACTGCAGCACGAGTTTGATCCCCGGCCAGGGAGCTGCCCACATGGTGCAGCAGACCCAGCCTGTCATATCTGCTGCTCCCCTTAGCAGTGTATTTCAATATATCTGCCTGTTCTGTGCGTCACTCTGTCTCTGGTGAATCCTCTCACTCTCCTGCACCTCTGGTCTATACCCCAGTTCTTGTATGCATAAATAAATATCCTTAAAAATTATAAATAAAACTTTGAATACCTGAAAGAAAAAAAAAAGTCAATTGTGGCTTTCCAAGATCATTCATTGAAGTCACAAACATATAGTAATAAGATGACATACTTGGAAAACTGAACATGGGAGTTTTATTTTGCAAAGGGAAATTATAAGCTGCTGAATTGATCTGCATTGTTGGGCCAAGCAATAGCACTTCTGGAAGTGAATACATTTGTACTGAAAACTGAATCTTATCTTTGGTCTGGGAGGTCCCAAATCCTCCTTAAAATCCATTACCTAAAAGGTTAAGAAATTGTATTTCACTTGTATTTTCTTTTATTCATTGTAGCAAACTGGAAGTAGAGAAGAAAAATAATGATGAAAACGAAAAGGAGAATGCTGAGGCTGAGAAAGTCAAGAGAGAAGCAGTTCAGGTAGTTGTTTCAGAGCATCACACAAATATTCTACTTTCCCCAGAAACAGGTTTCCACCATTCAGTGTTCTGATCAAATCCTCCCTCACTTGGCAGGAGCTGTGCAGTGAATACCGTAATTACATAAGGGATGGTCGCCTTCCCTGCACCAGAGAGAATGACCCCATCAAGGGCCCAGATGGGAAGATGCACGGCAACACCTGCTCCATGTGTGAAGCCTTCTTGTGAGTAGCGCAGAACCACAGCCCCCGCTGCTGCTGAGAGGAGTCAGCCCTGGGTGGGTGAGAGAGGAGCTGTCAAAGCGTTCTTCCAGGAAGTTGCTAATGAAAAGAGTGTATTGCATTGAGTATCTTTTTACTACTACAAAGCCATGTATTTAGCACGCTTCTCTGTAGTGTTCTGCAAGGTACTTGAATCAGTGTCAAGGGAGGACCTTGTGTTAAGAGAAGATTCCCCCAGAGCTGATGGCACCCAAGGACTGGAACTTGCGCTGTCTGCATGCACACTGCCGGAATAATCTAAGGATGTATTCATTATCAGCGCTAAGCATTGACAGTTTCTTAACATCAAGTCATTGTTTTTAAGTGTCCTAGTTTCTTTCTGGGGAGAAGGACAACCTCTTTAGTTTCTGAAAGAAACAGACTGATATTTTACTGCTGATATTTTCAATATCAATACTGCTTTACTTTTCAATAACAGATATTTTATTTACTGATTCAGTGTGGCATGTATGTCTTATTCTTTAAGTAGCACTAAAAAGAACAATATGGAGAATTGTACAGTGGCCTTACTCCTCCCACACTAAGTTGGTAGAGGTATAAAAGTAATGGGCTATGTCTATCTAGAGAGATGACTTCTCCTTTAGAATAAATATGGTTGTGATATTTTTCTTTTTCCTTCTGGTTTATTTCATAATTCCCTCTAGCTCCATCCACATTGCTGTAAATGGCATGAGTGTTTTGTTTTTGATTGCTGAGTAATATTCCATGGTGTATATGTACCACATCTTCTTGATCCAGTCATCTATTTTTGGGCATTTGGGTTGTTTCCAGGTTTTACCTAGTGTAAATAGTGCTGCAATAAACATAGTGGTACAGGTGCTCTTTTGAATCAATGTTTTTGTGTCCTTTGGGTAGATATCTAGGAGTGGAATTGCCAGGTCATATGGTAGCTCCATTTTTAGTAGACTGAGGAACCTCCAAACAGCTTTTCATAGAGGTTGGACCAGCTTACAGTGGGATTCTTCTGATCCCAGTCCCACCAGCAATGTAGAATGGTTTCACTTATAGCACGAATACAGGGGAACCAAATAAGACATCAGTGTGAAAAAATAATAACACTCCAAAACACAACAAAGCAAAAACAGACAATTAGAGAGGAGAGACATCCTGCAGGGGAGGAGGAGGGAGAGGGGCCCGAGGGAGGGAGGGAGGAGCACAGGGGCCTGAGGTGATGGTGCATGGGTGCATTGGTGAAGGAAACTCTATGGGGACTAACCTGAGGGGGAGGGTATTGTTTAAAAATGAACAATGATGTAAAAAATAAAATTAAAAAGGTAAAATTTAAAAAAAAGAATAAATATGATTGCTACAGTGCTTATCTTCCTGCCCATCTCCTTCCCTCTTACAGCCAGCAAGAAGCAAAGGAGAAAAAAGAAGCTGAATCCAGAGCAAAAGCGAAGAGAGAAGCTGACAAGGTAATTTTCCTGAAGGGACATAATATAATGAAAAATGGGAAGTGTTGCAATTTCTCAGTAAAAATAATGCATGGAGTTACCAGACACCTAAGTGAGGGAATTTGAGCTTCATTTAGCCTTGACAGAGTTTTCTTTTAATGGGCTAAATAACAGATATTTTAGGTTGTGGCCATTCAGTCTCTTTCACAACCACTGGATTATGCTGTTGTAGCTCAGAAGCAGCCAAAGGTCATGTGCAGACAGACAGGCAGGACTTGTTCTGATACCACTGGAGTTACAAAGAAGGTGGTGGGCCAGATCTTTGCCTAGAAGTCGTACTTTGCAAACCCCTGATTTCCTCCATTCTCATGTTTAAAATGAAGATTTAAAATCCAGAGAGAAAGAACTTAAGTTAGTGGTATATTGGTACCACACTACAAAGAGTAATTATCTTCATGTTTCAGAGTGTTCACAGCTAGAAAGTAGAAACATCCGAATTCAAACCATTGGCCACTATAATTCTAAGGTTTCCTGATGCCAAATCCTGCACTTATCTTAACGAACTTTTTTGCTTTTATATGACTGAATTTGGTCAAACCAGTTGTATGTTCTTTGTTTTACCTCGAATTATATTTTGGTGCCAGCACCACCAAATAATATATTTTTGATTCAAAAAGAATTCGGTTACATTTTTTCCAGATTTATGGCATTTCCTTGCCATAAATGATCTCTCTGGGCCTCCCTGGTGTCACAAGGGGTTAAGACGCAATCTACGAAGCTGTCCGCAGCCTCTGCAGCACAAGTTCGATCCCTGGCCAGGGAGCAACCCTCATGGTGCAGCAGACCTCTCCTGACTCGCCCACTGCGCCTCTCAGCAGTATACTTCCATCTATCCACCTGTTCTGTTCCCCACTCTGTCTTTGGTGAATCCTCTCACCCCCCACATCTCTGGCCTGTACCCCAGCTCTTGTATACATAAATAAATAAATCTAAAAAGAAAAAAAAAGAAACGATCTCTAAGAAAGCATCACACTTGGAATTTATATGGTGGGTTTGCTTACAGTTGTATTTCTCACAATTGTGAATCTGAATTTTAAAGTGCTTTACTTTTCAATATCTCTGAGATTATCTTCCATGTGAAACAGTTGCAATTTCACCTTAACTACTATTGTTGAACTGTCTTCTCCTATCACCTTTCTTTTGCTAACTACAACCCCATTGGGGACAGCAGTAAACCTTGAATCAGAGCCGGAGGAAAACTCACTCTCGTCCTCATTGAGTTTCAATTTGATATAAAAGGTTCAGAGAAGAACGTGAACTCTGTCTAGATCGCAGCAGTAATTAACTCTATGATCCTAAGTGATTGTTTTAATCCTCTCTCAATTCCTCATTAACTCTGGAACTAATATTTACTGAGCACTTTCTAAATGTTAGTTATTGCAGATACACATATAATATCTCATGTTGTTCTCACAACAACCCAGAATGTATGCTGAAAGCTTAATACACCTTGATATACTTAATACTTAATACACGTTGACCATTATAATTCTAAACATGTGGAATAAATGTTATTTTAATTTTATATAAATATTATTATTTTAATTTTATAAGTGAGGTAACTTAGCCTCAAAGAGGCAGTGCCCCTCATCCAAGATTCTTGGTGGTAGGTTGGAATCCTAACATCATGACCTGTTGTCCTGCTGTACCTGAAACTTTTGTTACATTCTTATAAAAGGGGAAGATGCAGAATGAGAAATGGTAGGAAAGACTGAAATAGAATGAAGTGTCTGCCTGTGTTTAGCTCATGAAAGGGAACCTGGCCAGGTATGGGAGGAGAACAAGAAAGCTTTCTCCAAGAATCTGAAGGCCTCCCATGAGGAAGAATAAAAATATTTTCAATTTCTCTGAGGGAAGCAAAATACTTTGACTTCATTTGCTGATCAGCAGTAACATACTCATCCTACTTGCAATGACATCTTCCAAATAGGAAACCCTGAGAATAGGGATCTGCCAGGGTTTATAGGGTTTATTTTCCAAGATCTCTCAAACATAGTCCAATAGCTTATTTGTGGAAACTATCCAATAGAAATGTTGAAGTGAACATTCTGGAGGGTAAGGGGCTCCTTATGAATGCTGGTGCTTTGATGCACATTAGATGCCCTTGTTGTGTCGTGCAACACCACACTGATAAGACACGGGAGTCGTGCAGCAGGCTGCATGAGGCAGGATGTTGCTGAGAGCAAGAACCTGACCGTTTTTATTGATAGAATAATCATAGATCATCAGCTATGTACTAAGTTAAGAGGACAAGGAGAAAGGATGGGTGAAACTCAGGAATGTCATCTGGGGCTTGTGGGCACATGAGGTTGCTGACCATGTTATCAGCTTGATGAAGAAGTGTTGTCATCAAAACTGGAAACTAGACCCCAGACCCTAGGCCACAGTCCTAATCTTATCAACAAGGCATTCCACTGATCAGCTTCTGTGTCCCTTGTCATACATCGGTCCTCTGCCTCTGGGTGTTCCTGGTCATACCTCATGATGTATGAGTCAGGAGTAAGTTTATGCAGCCATCCTCAGCCCCCCGGGCATTCCTAGTCATACCTCGTGATGCATACCCTTCCTGCAGTGATCAAGCTTTCTGCTCTTGATTGATATGAAAGGCACCTTGCAAGGTTTGGCTCATATGACTGTGACTGAACAGTTCTGACCTTTGTATAGGAATGCAGAACTTCAGGTAACCATAATGGTGGCTGAGCAGGCTACTTAAGTCTAGCAGCCACTTAAGTCTAGCAGACCCACATGTCCCCCTTTTTTATTTTATTTAAAGAGAGGAAAGACGAGTGGAGGGGAAGTAGGATGGATTTCCAGGTGGACGATAGGCCAGGCAAAGTGTCCTCATTGCTTGTTTTTGACTTCTGACTTGTATCGGGTGATAGCAGTAGCATCCTATTAAAAAGAGGATAACAGCAAGAAAAATAATGAGCAGCAATTGGATAAGTGATTGTAGGGATAGGCTGGTCAGCCAATTTTTTGGATTTGCAAGGGATGAAAAAGCCAAAAGGCCATCGATGGTTTCTTGAGATGTTTGCCTGTTAAACTGGTCCAAATGGATTGACAATCATTCTTGCATATCATCAACAGAGGAGGCCAGTGGAGAGCTGAAAGCTCTTAACAAATCCTTTTTATGAAAATCCCAGGAATAGGAAGTTAAATTTTTAGCAGTGTAATTAGTGACACATAACCGGATAAATCCCGAATCACATCTCAGAAGAGAACGAGTCCATAAGGCTTGTTGATGTTCACCATGCCATAGCACTGCTGATTCAAGAGCATCTAATCTAGTTAAAATCTGCTGGTCAATGTGCACCTGTTACAGCAAGTCCTGAGTAGTATTGGTCATATATTGATGTACCTCATTGGCAGTTTTATAATGATTTGGCCAATGCAGTAGATGCCATTGCTGCAGTGGCAGCCAGGGAGACTAAGAATATGATTCCAGCAATGAATGTGCCTAAAAAGTGGCACGCACAGCAAACTCGGTCTAAAGCCTGAACTAATTGATTTAAAGGGAAGCTGCCGTCCCATGGACAAGTCAGATTGACTGGAATCCATGCATGCATATGTTGTTTAATAAAGAAAATTGAGTGTTTAGATAAAACCCAAGAATCAATACAAGAGGTGACTGTAGTACCTTTTGTTATCAGCTTGATGGAAAAGTACTATTATAGTACTTTTGGAAAAGTACTATTATCCCGTGAACGTAAGGGGAGAGTAGGAGATAAGGGAAGCAAATAGGGACGGGAGGTGCAAACCTTAGAAAAGTTGTGATTATCAGTAAAATCCCAAATAAACTGTCCTTGGGTAAAGGAAGCTTGACCTGGTGTATTGTGTAAGGGAAATAAGGTGTAGCTGCACGCCAAGATCTTGTTTTAAGAGGGGAACACTGAGTATTACAACACAAACAAAATAAGGGGCCAGCCAATCCTGGATCCCAGTCAGCTGAAACATTATGTGTGGCATTGTGCAATTCCATGGAGGGCCTTTGAAACATTTCCTTTTGTTTTGGACTGTGAGCCCCTGCAGTCCCCACTTTTGTAGAACACAATCACCTTCTAAAAAGATAAGAGTGCCGTATGTAGAAAGACAAAGTTTCCAGTGAAAGGGGGGGATTGGTTTCAGATATTTTTTGAAGGTTGTGACATATAGATACAGATGGAGCCCTTGAAGGACCCTCTTCCCCATGAGATTAAAGGAGCTGGGCCTAACCAGTTTGGATTAGGCAGTTTTTTGTGTAACACTGAAGGTTTCTGATCATTTTCCTTAGGTGTGAAGAAATGGAGTGTAACTAGGTTCCGACGTGTGCCTCTATACTGTAGATGATTTAATGTGAATAGAGCTTTAAAAAGTTGAGCACGAGGGGAGGAGCATTCCCCCTTTTGTTTTGTAAGGAAAAGTTTAAGAAGTTCATTAGCACTTTCCACAATAGCTTGACCTGTGGGGTTATAAGGAATACCAGTAGTGTGCTGAATGCCACAGTCAAATAAAAAGGCAGTAAGAGATTTAGAAGTATAAGCTGGGCCATTATCAGTTTTAATGCAGGAAGGCTGGCCCATTACTGCAAATGCCGAGTAGAGATGACAAATATTACATGAAGAGAACGAACGTTCCCCGGGCTGAGCTGTGGCCCATAGAAATCCTGAAAAGGTATCGACTGTGACTTGGAGAGAAGATAAGCGACCAAAAGAAGGGAAGTGGGTGACATCCATCTGCCATAAATCATTGGCTTGAATGCCCCGCGAGTTAACACCTGAGGGAAAAGTAGGGCCAGAGCATTGACAAACAGTGCTAGCTTGAACCCGTTCCTGTGCAAGGGAAATGTTAAATATTTTTGCAAGACTGCGAGTGCCTTGGTGAAAGAAGGAAAGACAAGTTATAGGATCTGCAAACACGGTAAACAACCTCAGGGCTATATCAGCCATCTCGTTTCCTTCAGACAGTGGACCCGGTAGACTAAA